CCTAAATTAACATTCTGAGCATCGCTGTGTATTAACACACTTTTACACAGCCCAGATTCTGAGATTCCAAACTGGAGCACAGGGATTAGTCTTTGAGCATGGCACTGCATGCAGGAGTAGGTAACATCCCTTTGCAAAAGCTCTCTGGCACGTGTGACTAACAGAGAGTGACAAAATACTGTCACACATACTGAGTAACTGCTGGAAAGATCAGGTTGTTCAAGCTGTGCTTGCAAACCTGCCGTGCTCACTCTGCTAAGTGGAGCTGTGTAGTACAGCTGCACATGGCCCAGCAGCTCCAGGCAGGACTGGCCAGGAGACAGCAACAAGACTTCCTAGAATGTTCCTACTTCCCATGGGAGTTCATTCTCCAGAAAGTCCTAGTTCAGGTGGGTTAGTGCCTTTATTAGGGAGGAGAAAAGTGCTTTGTGACTTTCAGATTCTCAGCTACCTGGAGCCCTGAGTGCTAGAGAGTCTACATCAGCCCTTTCCCTCAGACAGGCTCCCCAAACAAAAAAGCCATAGTTGGAAAATACAGAAATCTGTCTCAAGGAGCATCTAGGAAACAGTTCCAGATGGGTTAGCACAGCAGCAGCAACACAGGCATGCATGGAGGTTAGGAGGATAAAGCTGATGCCTACAGCTATGAAAGACTGAATATTTTCAAGCATTATTGTAGACCAGAGACAGAAGAGAAATTTAGCAGATATCTAAGAAGAGTGATGTGTAACTGGAATCTGAAACTAACAATGCTGAAAATATTTTTTTGCAGAAGTCAACATCTATATGGATCTCAGTTGCAAAAGAAAGCTTTTGCTTGACTGACTATGGGAAAACAACTGTCAAAAAAACCCGGATTTTTTTCCTTTTGCTAGGCAACAAAACAGATTCCTCCCACATCAAAAGCTCCAATTCTTAAGAAATAATATAAAACAAATAAGAAAACCAAAACAAAAGAAACCTCCACATATCATTAATCAGCAATGATGGGCAGAAGAGTAGTGCTAATGTCAATGTAATGGCACTTTAGCTCAGAACATTCCCCTGCTAGAAACTTCCAAAAGTCAAGGCACTCTTTTTAAACCATCCAGATTTGCCTCTTTATAATCTTGTAACTGTAAATGAGATTGATTTGGTGAGGAGAAATCATTCCAGGATCAGCAGTAAGGATGACATATTCACAGAAACATCCAGCTAATTCCAAGAATGGACTTGATATTTAACTATCTACAGAACAGCTGTGTGCTGATACAGAGGTGAAGTGCTTGCCCCTTACACCCAGTGGCCTCACGAGTCCCTGAGGCACCATGGCAGTGATGCTCAGGGTTCATCACTCCTTCTTTCCTTCCTTCCTTGCAGCAGAATATACAGTACTGGCCATGGCAGCCAAACTCACAGCCACAAAGGACTCTGCTAAGTCCTCAGGTTGTCACCACAGGCAAGGTGACACTAGAATGAAAGGGTGACAGTAAGACATGGCCTTCTTTGACCCACTGACTTAGGAGGCATGGCACAAGTACCCAGTATTTTCTCATGTATCTTTGAGGATAGTCCTGCAATGAGGCTGCTCCAGAAAAGAATGGATATTTTACAAATTCTTCCTGGCCTCAATTATACACTCTTTCTGAATATATTTTCAATTGCAACAGTAAAGACAGCCAGTACAACAGTAAATACAACCAGTATCCACCACAAGATGCTCCTGCCAAAAGAGATGCAATTAATGAAACGTGTCTGAAAACAAAACTGCATTGCCACAGAAGATCAGTGTAGGCAGGAAAAGTTGATGCAAATTGAGCAGGTGACCACAGCACCTTCAGATCAGGGTCAGTGAAAAGAATGCATTCACCTGCAGAAGAATTAGAGTGCCTTAACACTAAAGTAAAAAAAGGAATTCCTTGGATCAGTCATGTCATTTTATAATCATATTAAGCTGCTCCTGCTGTAGTCCTTGAGCATGCCACAACATCTGATAAAGCACCAGCCCAATGGCACTGCTTGCAGTATGACTGCACCAGCTCAATCTCCTCAGTCATTCTGAAGGCTGTTTTTCTGTTCTACTAAATACGTGCTTAGCAAATGCATAACAAGAAAATCAAGAGCAACATAGACAACAACAGTTCTTTCCCCAGTTTCTCATCACTTTTCCTTAACCAGCTCTATGAAGTAATTAATACAGAAAACATATCCCCACAGCTCCAATCAACACCTTCTGAACACCTGCCTAGGAATAATACAAGGTTTGATCCAGGGGAATTTCACTTGATCGGACTTACAGGTGCAGAGCAATTCAATAAAACCCCTTTAATTAACCAATGTAAGGGACAGCATCAGCTTCAGGGTGGATAATTAACAAAAAGCTGGTAATCCAGTAATAGGTCTCAGCACACCTGCTCATTTTTGTCCAGCTTCAGATACAAGATTTGATGGGTAGGAGTAAAATCTGTGTTTTTTCCACAAGGAGTTTACAGAATGCTGGCTTTGGTACACTACAGAAGCCAAAGAGGATCTCCAGATCACACAGGAAAGCCAGGATTGTATTTGCATCTTACTGAAGCCATTTTGAAGGACCTTAACCTAATCTCTTTGATTAATGCTGACTTCAAAGCAGTGCCTCCAATCCAATCCTCTTCCCTAACTAACACTAGCCAAAGTCTGGCAGGCTGTCCCTCCTCAGCTAACAACAGCTCCAGGTGTTGGAAGGGTGGGGGTGATGGGGAGGAAAGCTATGGCATGGGAAGCAAATACTGAACCAGGTGTGGACATGTCACCAGATGCCACCTTTATTGCAGAGTTAGGGAGGGCATCCCCTGAAGAAAGAGCATGTCTCTGTGTGATGGGTATTTATTTATGCAGGTGGTTTGAGGGGGTTAAAGTGGCACATTAATCCTTGTGACTCCCAAATTATCTGTGACCATTCAAACTTTATGGAAGTTTTCAAGTGATAAACAGACTAGCATTTTTTAAGGCAGGAAAGGACACTCTTCTGCAAAACTGCAAGCACAACAGACAGTAGTTAAACATAAGAAAATTAATTCAAAACAGGGGTTTAAAAAAATTATCCAAAGCAATTTTCTAAAACTGAAATTAACTTCTGAGGCTCATTGATACAAGATGCTACAGAGGGCAATATAACAAGCAAAAGGAAACAAAATAAGCTCATGGAAAATAGACCCAGCATATCTATTAAGACAGGAAACACCCCTGTCTCAGCAAGTAACCAAACAGCAAAATACCTAAACTAAGGACAGCCACTGGTGAGAGATCCCTTGCACACTTCCATGCAATTCACATGCTATTGCCCTACACTTGAGCAACTTCCAAAAATAGGATGCAAGGCAAATACGAAAGTCTCAGGAAGAATTCTGTCACTCAGCCTTGGGTCTCTAAAAACACAGAAACAATGTATGTTCCAATTCATTCAAGATCTGAGAAAAATCAAACATTTGCATGTTTGAACACAACAGAACATATTGGGTTAAAAAGTGAGGGAAAATCTACAAATCCATCTGTCCCAACTTCCCATTGTTGCTGTTAGTTAGGTACTTCAACTTGCTCCATTTGCATGTTTTGATAAATCAGAGCATTCAGCTTCCACTGATGAAAACCTGATTTTAAAAATCAGTCCAAGCTCACTCAACACAAAAATCGAGTACCATTTCTGATGCTGAGATTATTTTTTAGGAACAAACCACAAAATATCACATGTTCCCATGTCAACAACTGTATCATTAAATTCTTTCTTTTTCTGTCTTTTTTTTAATACATCTCCTATATCTTTCCTACTGAACAGACTGCTGTGACATATACACCTCTACAAATAATAAACTAGTACTGCCATCACGATTTCTGTCGTTTTTAAGCAAAGAAAAAGTCACGTTTATTTTGTAGTAGCAATAGTTTCTTTTTTATTTTTAATATACTTTAGGAAACAATATACAAAGCTGAGCTTTTCCACCATTTTCAAACGGTGAGTTGCTCCAATTACACAAATTCAGCGTTTTGTGATGGTTAAGAACAGCAGTCAGCACCAGACTTAAACAGTTAGCTACAACACAAACATCCTTCGAAATGAAATGTCATAATATCAAGACAGGTAAACCAGGAGTTAACATATGACAACTGTTGGGGAGGTGTCTTAAATCATCCTTGTTGAATTTTATATTTCCTTAAATATTTTATACATATTTTCCTGTTTACAAGTTTTAAACAAAACCTCCCTTGAGGAATTATTTAAGTACAAAAATGTTCAACAAGAACAGTTCTAATAAAGAATCCCCAAAAAGACCAAATTTTAATGTGTTGACCAAAGGAAATGAAAACCAGTGTTTCTTTGCTTTAACATGTTTATTACAACAGATACAATTCACATCTGACTAGCTTTTTTTTTCCTCTTTCCCCTCCCACAACCATGTTAACATGTTCATTGGGCTATTTCCTTATATTTGAGCAAGTAATGTACTTTCAGCACACATGCCCAGCAGTACTCTAAGTCCATTCTTACAGGGTGCAAATGGAAATACGTTTCAATAATTTATACAAACAAGTGGGTTATGCTCAATCACTGCAATTTTAAGCTACTGTACACAGGAATGAAAAGATTATAGAAAAAGTGCCATAGCAACAGTGCCTTAAGAAAAGAGAAAATTAGAAGCATTAAAAAGCTGATAAAATCAGATTTAGGATTTCACAGGGAAATGGAACACAGAAGATGAAAAACATTTCTCTGTAAAACAGAAATGGAGAAGCACTGCTCTCGACTCGGTGCAAGTGTGGAAACAGTTGTTTCGTGGTATTTTGTACATTGCCCAAACTGTTGCAGCCTTAGACACAAATCGCCTGGCGCTTGCATTGAATTTTAGGAAATGAAAAATTTCTGAATGATAAATTAACTAAAAAAAAAAA